CAGCCACCGATGTTTTAAAACATTTTTTAAAACAATAAAAAATGTATAAAAAACTGTTTAAAACGTTTTTTTACCATTCCTATTTACTACTTAACACCGATTTCCTATCATTATATCAATATAAATTCATTATCATTATTAATAAAAAAAGTACAGTGTTTTGAGATTTATACTCAAATCTGATTGGCTATTTTTGTGTAACAAGATTCTGATTGGTTAAAAATCTATAAAAATAATTTTTTTATATATTAAACGCCAAAATTTTGATTACATATAAACTTTGCGACTTTTTAATCTACAGAATTATAGCTTAGACTAAAAGCAAACAAATCTGTAAGACAGATTTTTTTTAAAGTCATTTGTTCATAAGTTATAAGCACTTTTATATTTATATATAAAAAGTGGATGTTTTTGCTGTCCGGTACTTTAGCTTCTGAAAATTTCAAATTATTTTTCAAAACTGAAGAGTTGCAGTCTTTTGTTAAATATGAATAATATTTTATTTACATATAATTCTGGAATAAAAATAATATTGAAACTGGACAATTATAAATATCGAAATATTTATAAAAATAGAAAATCCATAAAAACTGTGTTGAAAATATTATAAGCAGTTATAGAAAAAAGCTCGCAATATTCCAACATGAATTTTACGATTTTGTAATAAGACATAAAATTTCCAGTTCAAATACTTCTGTACAATGAATAAAAAGAAATTGACGAAGGGTAAAAAAAAAAGAAAAAAAAAGAGTATCCGCAGTAATGAACAAACTTAAAAGAATTACATGATAAAATTTACAAAATGTTAAATCAGTTCTATTTATTTTAAGTTATATTTCTGTATAAGTTAAATAGTTTTATTATATTCTCATTTGCAAAATGTAAGATCATGACCTTGATATTTCGTTGTGAAGGATACTAAAATGATTGATAAAAGAAACTGTTAGATGCAAAAAGAATGAAATATATCATTCAAAACAAGAGAACCATAAAAAATGCAAATTACTTTGATATTATTTATTATATAAGATAATCAATAAAAGATAAATCAGAATTTTGTTCAATGACTAGGCAAAGCTATATGCAAATTTGATACTTTAAAACACTCTTTTAATATCACTAATGTCTTACTAAACTTTGATCGGACTTCCAGCTTTAAGGTGCCTCAAAAAGTACTTCTGGTTCTATATACGCATTCTTCGAATCATCTCCCGATCCAGGTGGTTGTCTTCTTGGGATCAGTTTATCAAAAAAACGAAGAAAACCGAATGTTTCTCGTTCTGAATCCTCGGGTCTCGGACTCGATTTAGATGCATTACGCCATGACCAAAAAAGAGGTATTATAATTATTAATGTTGCAAAGTATAACCACATACAGATCAAATTTGCTTCTCGAACTTTGCATCCTGCTAATATCATGCTAGATGTATATGGATAATCTGATGGACAGTTAAATGGAATGTCACCCATTTCATTGATGGTAAGAAATGTGTAAATAACTTTTATAAATAAAAAGATATAGATACTGTTAATGACGTTGAAAAGCGGTGCGTGATAGAAAAATAAAAATTTCTTACGTACATGGAAAAATTAACCAAACGATTGCCACAATCCTTATAATTTCGATTAAATGAATTTCAATTTACTGATAAAAGTATCAAAATTGAAGATAAAAAGTGCGAAATACATACTTGAAACACCAGGATAAATCATCATATTCGTAGACACAACATATTAAAAAAAATACGTCTAGAACAAATTTATAAATTGGGAATTAGAAACATGGCTTTTAACTAGAATTAAAAACACAACATTTAAATAAAAGGCACATACTAATTATTGACAATGTAAGGGCCAGGTATCTACAAGATAATACTCAATTTAAAGATATGCCACATTCTCTTTTTTTTTTTGAAAAAAAATACGACATTTATTTACATGTATTCAAGCCATAAATTATAAGTTAGTTCTCCCCCAGATAGACTAAACAATTTAAGCTTTGCTATTTCTAGATGTCGTTATTTTGTGATATAAAGAAATAACTTTTTAGTATTCACAGCATAAAGAACCATTTACAAATTTTCAATGACTTACCAAAGCCTGGGCAGAGGAATGCAAGAATTAAATTTGGAATGATTGATAAACAAAGGCAAGCACCTTTTTTCGATCCTGTATAGTTCATCATTATTGATGTTCTTATTTTTTTCTTTGCTGTAGTACAAAAAATAAAATCTTCATAGTTACGATCTGGAGCTGTTTTTTTTTTTTATGATCGATGGTTTGTTATTATTATTAATTTTTTAACTTACAATGCAATTAAAAAGGCATTTATATAACGTTAGAAATTTAAACTGCTTTTTACATTTGTGGGACTTTAAACAATAAACATTAAATTGATAAAGCAGATTAAAAAACGACATCTTTCTCTCTCGTGTTTACATATATAAGAGGTTTGTTGTTTATTGCATCAATTCAATGGTAAAGCATCCACCACGAGTCTATCGGCTTGCTATCTATGTTTGTTATCATTATTTTACATTATTGAATTGTTTACAAAAACAAATTGTCGATTCTTTCCACTTTTTTAAAAGAAGTTTCAAAATATTCGTTTAATTTAAAATCCTTGTGATTCTGATTTATGGTTCTCTTATCTTGTGACTTAATATACAAGTGAATGTTGATTGCTGTTTTTCAGAGGCTTAGTAATAGTTAGTGGCTTTGATCAAATGTTAAAAAAAATTGTACATACGTACATACGTACGTACGCACGTACGTACGTAGATAGTTAAATACATGTAACATAATGATAAAACATGAATAAAGTGCCAACAGCTTTATTTTTAGTTTCGATGTGTCAAATTTAACTAATGCTTTGGTCCCCAAATTTGGTCCAAATTTATTATTTGATTTTCCAAGATTAAGCCCCGGAAAAATTCATGACTCTCCAATCTATAATAAACAATAGTCCACTATTTTAAATTTCTATACAATTCAGATAAACCCATTTTAAATTTATTGTTACATATGTACGAATATACAATTTAATAGTTTGCAATGACCGTCAGTAAAGTTGACAGATTATGGAGATCAAAAAATATAAAAATAATCTACATAGTATATCATAGTTAGGATAATAACATTATATCGGGTCTCTATACAGGTCCCTTTTTTTACTATCTCCGCACTTAATTTTAAATACAATTATATATAATATTGCAATGATTACTATTTTAGTGATTAAAAAAAAGAGACCTGTATAGAGACTTTCACCCACCCGGTATATATGTGAAGTCAATTAAATTACTCACAATCGGTGGTCGAAATTTTCAAATTTTGAGGGTATTTTGCAAACGCGCCGTTGCAGCATTTTTGAACATTTCGCACATCTTTTTAAAGTTAGTACCCGTATTGTTTATACTAAATATATATGAAGAAAAAGAAATAAATTTAACAAATACTGTATTGTTATGAAAAATAATATTTAAATTATAAGATTAAGAGAATTTTAGTACCTCACCTTAAGCAAAAAAAAACTTTTTAACAACAGAAACCAAAAGTACAATCTGGCTCAAGTCTTAATTGAAACATAGGGGATTTCTTACCCTTTGGAATGAATATACTCTGGAGGAATTGAAGGAATTGTAATGTTTACAATTATATCGAATTTAGGTAATGAAAAAGTGTTCTGGATTGGAATATGAGATGTGGGAAAAGGTGAAAAATGGGTTAAGTAAATTAGGTGTGAATAAATTATGGTATGATCACCCAGTATGTTCTGGAATTTTAAACTATAAATCCAAACCTATTTCTATGTTATTACTGGAATATCATGATATGTTTCAGGTAATTATAAAATAATATATCCAAACTTCAATATATTTTATTTTCTTAACTAATACTTACTTTATAGAAAGAGGTTAAAAAATTTGTGATAGAAAAAGATCAAAAATATACAATCTTTGTGAAATATTTACACTTGGGAAAGAGAACCATATTCTAATAGAAGAGATAGCATTGATTTCTTATATAGTAGCTTCTAGAGAGTGGATAGATTCATCAAAAAAGTTAGAAGCAATTATGGTACAAATTTTCAAAGTAATATAAGCTCTTACTATTATATTTTTACTTCACACCTGTAATAATTAATTAAAAAAATATATTTTTAGGCATCATTTATGGATATCAACCAAGTATAGAGTATGCTTATAATACAATGTCAATAAATGAGACTTCATATATGTGTGAAGTGTTAACACAGTTATTTGATATAACTATAAGTGAGATATTTATAAAATACAAAGCTTGGAGTGCATGGTTGGTGTTTTTCCTATTCTTCTATTTTATTGATTAAGCTTCAACTATGATTTTACTATTTCTTAGATTTTAGAGATAACAAAACTTGGTTAATATATTTCAAGCAAACAATTTGAAATATATAAAAAAATTAAACTGTATATTTATAGTAGAAATAAATAATATAAGGTTAAATTAATATATAGTAAAAAGGTTTATTCAAAAACTTCTCAAAATAAGCAACTAGAGAAACATAAAAAATTAGCAGAACTCTCTAATAATTCAATCAAAAAACAAGATTGAAACTTAAAGCATCATTAAAAAAATTGATATTAAGTAAATATTTGTCTATATTTACAATTAATGTTTTTTTTTTTAAAAAAAAGTTAGTAACTAAGTGCAATTATCTATTTCAACTTTATTTCATACATGCAATTTATCAAACTATAAGGCTGACTTCTATTTAATTTTTAGATATTAACTAATCTAGCTTTTTATAACAATTGTTCAAATTACTTATGTTTGATCTGCTATAGTAAATATTTTTTTATATTAGCTATTTTGTAATGAATCAACTAATATATTACTAAATAGCTTTTTTTTTTTATTAAGGTGAGAGTCTTTCTTGTAATACTTTTATTAGATTTAAAATTTAATATATAGATCTGTTATTTAATATTCTAGGTTTTTAGTTTTGTAGTGTTATGATTCTCTTATAATACTATTATATATTGAGACTAGGGCTATGATTAACTATCTATATTTAAGAACTACCTTCTTTAATAATTCTAAGTATCTTTAGTTTTACAATTTACTCTTAATCTAATTTCTACTGAATTAATAACAAACCTCACTATCAGAGTTTTGGTTTTTGTATATTTACTCACAATTATCAGATATTCACAGTTGCTAAAACTTTTACTTGTAGTTAGGCTATCCCAAACTGCTATACTCTTATAAAGTTTATATTAACCCTAGTATCTGAATTTGAACTTCCTTCTTTTACAGATTCTTAACTAGTCTCTCCCTTACTCCTAGCTAATAACTCAGAAAAGTTAGTCTACTTAGGCTTTAAATACCTCATGGTCTTTTTTTTTTTGGATTATATTTTCAAAATATATGTTTTTTTTCTCTAGCATTATAGTTCTGGTAGTCCAGTTGGTAGATCCTTTTGCTAGAGACCTTTTGTTGTTTAGTTATTTAGTCTTAGCCCCTGCTTCTTAATTTGGTTCTCCTGTAATACTATCAAAAGTTTTTGCTATCTCTTTACTTAAGTCTTCTCAAATAAATTTATATTATTCTAGTTATTTGAATTTAGTATTACAAATAAATACAAAAAATATAATTAATTAATTAGATGATACTAATTAAATAAACTAGTTTAAAAAATTTTTAAACCTGGCCATCCAGCGGTTTTTTTTATATATAGTATATAAAATTTTTTATAAATAATATAGTCCAATCTTAGTATAACAAAGCTTTAAAGCTAAGATATTTAGTTTAATATATTAAAGTATCTCTATTATATACAACAATTGTAACAAATGCAAATAGAAATAGTTGTTTAGAATATCAGACCAGGCTGTTAACATTTTTAAAAATATAACTCTTTAAATTATAATTTAACTAGTTCAATAAATAGCATTAAGTGCTACCTATCTTATACAGAATTTAACAATTATCACAATATATACAAATATAAGTAGTACAAAAAAAAGAGTTCTGGGACAGAATTCCAGTACTGTATCCAGAATAGGTTCCTTACCCCCTTTACAAATCCTTCTAGTTATATTTAATCATATATCGAATTCGAGCTCTAAATTACGCTAGAGCCAAATCCTGTTAACTTACTCTCCTTATACCTAAATTTGGGCTTCCAACATTAAGGAGTACATAGTCTTTGTTAACGCTCTGGCTAAGTTTTTAATCCCAAACAAGATAATAAAATAATTATGCTATATTGCTTGCCCTTGAAATGAGCAGAGAGCACCGAGGACCAAAGTGTTCAAGTGTGCTTCTCTGCGAGCCCATTCAAGCCTAAAATGCATACTTTTTTCTATGTTATCCTAGAATTAATTCAAAAAGTAATTTAATACTATCTAGCAAGGGTCAAAAATTTATACCATAGGTGTAAATTTTTGCATTGGGTGTAAAAAAATTTGGGCTAGGTGTAAAAAAAAAAGGATTAAACAAAAGATTTCGTAGTATTAATACAAATCTCGGAGAAGCCACACCCAGGTATAAAAAAATTAAAGAAAAATATTTATAAAGTATTATATACAAATTAAGATGGCTAAAAGCAAAAAAACTTGCTATAGATGTGGTAAAAATAACTTCAAAAA